CATCTTACCTGACTGCAAGACTGTATCCTTCAATACAGCAAAGGTAAATTCTGACATACTTAAAAAGCTTCTTTCAGTTCTACGGATGGTTAACTTTTTCAAATCCCCTCCCAAAGGGCTCCATTGATGATTGACAGAAGGCCAACACGCTATTCAGTAACTTACCGCTATAACTTTTAGAATGAAAAGAAATGTATAGATGCCTAATTTATCTCCTTATCCTCAATTTAGAGAAATTTTGATTTAAAAGCATAGAAGATACTGAACTGTCTGTTTGTTCATCTGTAATAGGTAAGCAGACCATTTAACACAAGAACAGCAATACCCGCCGTTAAGTTTGATTCAGCTGAGAAATGGGAACAATTTCAAGAGGTTATTCCACAACTTGATGCTACTTCAATGAGATCAGACATATTACTGGAGCACATGAATACTGCAAAGGATGTATCTGATTATCTTTGGTACACTTCCAGGTACCACAAAAGATCCTTAATGTACCACTCGACTCAGAAGAATAGAGTAACAACATTAGATAAACTTGACCAGGACTGAAGGACATCTTTCAGCTAAATTAACTGGCACAGCATGATGTAAACATAATAATAACTGCATTCTAGGAAGTATTGCCTTTCACTAATATCTGTGAAATCCACATGACAGTATCCAGCAGGATTCGCCGGACCAGCAGTCAGTTACACTAAGTGTGAAGTCCTTAGGCCATGTTTTACATGCTTTTGTGAATGGAGCACATGCAGGTAATCATTTCATTGTGGATGCAATATATAAAATGAGAATTGTGTCATGCAATTTCAAAATTAACATTTTTAGGGGTTTGTTCCTAGTTTAAAATGATAATAGCAAGGGGTAAATTGTTTTGTCCTACAAATGAGAAAAGATGTTATGCACCCCCGCTCCCAACACACACTCCTCTCGTAGAAAATCAGGAAATAAAACTGAAACAGAACGGGTGAAAGATAAGCAAGATACAGTAAACAATTATGTGTTACAGACAATTCTTTATAGCATGATAACGAGAAAAAGAGACACAAACACCATATTTCCTAATACAAATTTGAAACTACAGTGATTTCAGCTGCACCATTGGCTAAAAGACTAGTTAGATTTCCACGTTCTACACTTTATTTATGGAAATGGAACTTGTGAATGGAGTAACTGGTTTTTGACTAGTGAAGGAAAAAAATGCTTCTGTTTCCAGAAAAGGGAAAAAAAAAAGATCCCATATTTTTCGTTTCGTAGTGTTCCTAATACCAATCTACATACTGAAGAACTGTCTCCAGAGAGAAGGTTGCATAACCAGTGTCTCTTCTATGTGAAGCACAAGTTAACATAATGTGCAGCTCAAAACATCAATTTGCACAACAAAACGTCTTAAAGTATTTTAACTGTCGAGTTTTGCAGGTTCTGCACATGGACAATTCAGAAATACATCATTTACTTTAGAGAGCACTATTTCTCTAAATAAAGGCACAAACAACATCTCATTACTAAGTGCAACTGTTGGCTTACCGGTACGTACTTTCATTTCCTTTGTTGGTTTACCTGGTTTCCAACTAATAATACATCATCCAAGAATGAATATCTTGTCAATCTCATCATGATATTAACAAAAAAAGGGGAAGTGTGTATTCGTATGTGAAAGTTGCATTTTCTTCTTTTGGTAAAAAGAGAAGTCTTACTCATAACGTAGAATAGTACATTATGAATTGCAATATTGCATGTACGAGCCCTCTTTTCCTCTCAACCTTAGAACTTAGAATCGTCTAAAGGGACAACATTTCAGAACACTGGAGCCAAGTTCATGTTTCACATGACTTGCTTAAGCACCTTCTTCTTTAGATTTATGATCTCTAGTTTTAGAAAAATGTATTTAGCAGCAAGTGATTATATAGATAAGAATGTTTTGAATCTTTGATGTGCAGGATTCAGGATCATTTCTTGAACATAGGGCTCTTGGTGTACAGTCCGTAATTATTCAAGACAGCGATGAGGCCAAAAATATCACCAATTACTCATGGGGTTATCAGGTAATAGATAGCCAAATCTTTTACTTGTTGAGCCATCGATGTAATTGATCATGCCATATAATGTATATACCGCTAATTTAACCAAAAACCTTTTAAGGCATTTAATGTTTTCTGCCACATCAATCTATTAGCTACAGCTCAGTCTTTAGTAGAGCACTTTTAAGGATGAGAACAACAAACCTAACAACCATAATTCTTTGGCAAGTGAGTGTATTTTATAATTAAGCTTACATGAGTACAAGACATTTTCTTAAGGTTGGATTACTGGGGGAGAAGTTACAAATTTACTCATCAGAAGGATCAAAGAGTGCTAATTGGAGCAGCTTAGGCTCTTCTCAACCGCTCACATGGTACAAGGTAAGTTTGTGGATACTTTCTGAGTAGTTTTTATATATCATATAGTTCTATTTGTTTAAGGGACTAAGAGATCCTCAGCAATTCAATATGTGCTTATGTTTCTGTTTATAATGCTATAATGCTACAATCAGCTCTAGCATATCCCGATATATTTGTTATTTTACTCAATCTATGATATTTTGATGGCAACTTGCCAGTCAGCTTTTGATGCACCCGAGGGTGATGATCCTGTTGCATTAAACCTTGGCTCCATGGGAAAAGGTGAAGCTTGGGTTAATGGTCAAAGCATCGGCCGATATTGGGTCTCATTTCGAACACTTGCAGGCATTCCGTCACAAACTTGGTATGTTAAAGGGAACTAATTCAGATAGATACTCAACACGAACCTTTTTTTACAAGGGAAACCAGTGTTGTCAGAGGCTCATTTAAGACGCGCTTAAGCCCTGGAGCTCAGAAAAGCTCAGGGAAGGCGTTTCGCCTCACTTAAGCTGGCTTCAGTAAGCAAGGCACCAAGACGTGCCCCTTATTGCCCATAAGTTCTATCATAAATGGAGCAATGCTAGACTACAAATATAATCGGCAAATAAGTGTATTAGTTTTTAAGGAAAACAATATGAATTAATTTGTTACTTTTCTCTAGAACTACATATATGTTTTTAAATTTTTCTTGCATTGCGCCTTTTTAAACTAAAGCCCGCACTTAAATTGCGCTTTGAGCTTAAAGCCCCAATTGGCGTAAAGCGCTTTTTAGAGTTTTTCACCTTTGACAACACTGAGGGAAACATGCATCTGCCAGGATTTGAACCCGGGTCTATGCAAACTTTCCTTGTACTGAAATAATTAGTATAGTTCTTCAGTATATGTTACTTAGAGACTAATCAGGCCATATTAAAACCAGTCTATCTTTAGCATATGCTATTTATAGAATAGGCAGGCCATCTCAGAACCAGACTATTTTTATCTCTTAAATATTGAATAAACCCTCTTCATTTAAAGATCCTACTCTCTTGTTTCGCTACAAGGAAGTTTATTCAGGATATCTTAGAGTTGTATCCAGTTATTAATGACTAAACTTCCAGCAACTAAAATTGTTCATTTCCAGGTACAATGTTCCAAGATCATTTCTCCAACCAGAGGACAACTTATTAGTCTTATTCGAGGAGGAAACAGGCAACCCTCTTGACATCACTGTAGATACTATTTCAGTCACAAAGCCGTCATTGAGAAAGTAAACCACTCTTCCTCATTTCCATACCAAGTTATTACCTTCACGAACTTTGTCTTCTTAGAAATGAAATTTTTCAAGAGATGAAGGAATATTAATAAGTTGACCTAAAACGGACTATTTAATTTGTGATAATTAATGAAACAAGTCAATGAACAACCCTATATAAAATTTCTTCTAAAAGATAGGTCACTTGAGAGATATGATTCCTACATGCAGAATTCATTTCTCAATATTGTAATGTGTGTCTATCAACCATTAATACCTAAGCAGAATAACTAATATTACTACTTTGAGCTTAATCAATGTTTGCTTAAGATCTTCAGACTGAAATTCTCTTACAAAGAAAACCAATTATTGAGAATTGTACACATACTGAAGCTGAAAGACCAAGTTAATTGCTACAGTCCAGTAGGATTCCCC